GACAGAGGATGAGATGGTTGGACAGTGTCATCGAAGCAACCAATATGAATTTGACACAACTCCGGGAGGCAGTGGAAGATAGGAGGGCCTGGTGTGCTCTGGTCCATGGGGTCACGAAGAGTCGGACATGACTGAACGACTAAACGACGACGAATTAAATGGATAGAAACACTGTTGAATGAAAACATAATTTAAAATGAAGCTTTATTGTTATTTTCAATATTTAAGGATGGAAATGAAAAATTATTCAATAAAGACCTAATTGCACATCTTATTGGTGCAGCAAGAGTAGAAACTGCACAAAACTGGAGAAATGCTCAAGATATTTCAGTATAAAAATTTGAGGACAGAATCTCGCAAATGGTCTTGATGGAAAAGCTGACCAAACAAATTAAAATCAAATTAAAATATATAGAGGGGAAATAAAATGGGATAAATTTATGAAAACCTGGCAACCATTATTGACATATGGAAAAGCTAAGGAAAAGAAGAATGTGAAATGGGAAGTAACTTGGATTGCTGGCATGTAATATTTTAAAAAGAATTAAGTATGTTAAAATATGAACTACTGGATATATAAAGAAAGACAATCTACTGAAAGAATGTGTAAGTAATTTGGTAGTATTGTACTACAATTCTTACTTGCATTGTCATGTTATGGATGTTAATAAAATTTATTAAGAGAAAAAAACAGTTCTCCTGGTTAATGATCAACTGAGTTTAGTAACAAATCTATTTTTATATAAACTTGAATTAATCAAAAATGTTATGTATTTAAAGAATATTTTGGCACTATGTTTTCACATTCATCTTTTTTCAAATACTAACAATTCATGATCAGTGCCTGCTCCTAGTTTTCTTTTGGGAGAGAGAATACAACTTCACCATTTGCTACCTCCATTTATGTAGTCTGATTTTTACACGCCATCTAGTAATAATCGTCTCTTTGGTTGTCAGATTTTTGTTTGTGTTGTTTTGTTGTTTTTTGGGGGGCTTGGCAGTAAACAGGTTAGAGAATTCATGAGTAGTTTTCCTGCTTCATTTCTGACAACTAGACAAAACTGAACGCTTTGTTCTCTTTTATATCCAGGTACCTATGATTATCATCACATCCTGTTTCGGCATGTGATCATTTTCCTCCTGGACACCAATGTAAAACCTTTCAGTTTCTTCTTTCTCAATGCCAGTAGTCAGAGTATAGACTTGAATAATGGGTATATTAATAGTTTTTAAAGTCTGATTACATATTTCAAAAATCATTAAAAATTACACATAGGCAAAAACACATTAATGTTGGGATATAATCACATTATATCGCTCTTGTTGCTACACAATATTTATCCTAATAGGCGATGAGTCTCCAAAGTCTCACACATTGATTTTCCAGACAGATCACAAATTTTAATTATACCTATTCACAGCATTACAAAGTCCTCCATAATATATGTGCACACCCAATAAAATATTGATGAAAAGAGAAAAAAAATACTGTATTGAACTTTACCTTGAGTCAAACAGTGTTCCGTCTAGAAAGGTACCATTATAGTGGTATCTTACAAAATCAGACACTTGAACAGTCCTTGTGCAGTTCTCTGGCTTATAGTAAGTCTGAATCTGAACTTGGTCTTCAGAATTCCATAGGTCAACCAAAAGCACATCAAAATGGAGTACTGAATTAGCAGGAATCACACCAGCTGTGGACATAAAAATATATCAAAGGGAAACAATTCCATTTCTTCACCAAGTACTTGTAATAGTACATATTTCCCTAAATGGTATCTTTAGCATTCTGTAGTTTGCACTGAAAGAAACACTGAGTCTTTTTAAATTTACAACCCAGCAGCAGCAGCTCACCCACCACACATTCTCTAATTGCAAGCGCTACCAGTTAAATGAAAACTATTCCCAACCCTCAGCACTAAGTTTGGGGTTGTCATTTAAACTTGTGAACAGAAACTACTTTTCTTGGATTATCCCTGTCACCAACCTAGGTCACTTTTTTGATGAACAAAACAAAATCAGAGATAGCAACTTTCCCTGAATTCAGAAACATGTTGGATGTTTTCTGTTGTTATATGTTCTCTGCAAAAATAAGAGCTAAGTCTTATTCTTTTCTGATGAATGAAAGCATAGATTCTCAAAATGTTCACAAATAAATACTTAAGATTCAAAGCTGGATAGGCTCCATCCACAACAATATTAAATTAAATACTTATTGGATCAAAATGTACCAAATAAATTACTCTAAATCTTTCTACAGTAATTAATCCATGTTAAAAAGACACCACCACCACCACCACTTTGATTTGGGAATGTGGCTGGAGCTGGGTGTATCTCCTGGTTGGAAGAAAGCAGAGCCCTGGGCAGGAACTCATGTAGAGACACAACAGCATAGCTTCCTCTTAAGATAGGACATTATTTCAGCCAATTAAACCATATTGAAAATTAAACATGTAGACCAGGAGGAAGCAGTATCATGTCCAGCAGCCCTACCTGTGATCCACAGTAGTTCTTTAGAAGCTCAGAACAAGTAAATGCTGGGGACAGAGCTATCAATTTGATCCCATTTCCACTTCTTCCATGCTTTCTGGATTCAGAGATATGGCAAAAATGACCAAATCACAGCTTTTATTAATTTTACCAACCATTCTTTTATAAGCAAATTTTCAACAACCTGTCTTGATTCATTATTTCCAGGTTCACAATGTATATACAGAAAATGTACTGTACTTACAAACTCCTTCACTTCCATAACCAAGATGGGGTGGGATTTTTACAAATCGCCTCTCATTCACACACATTCCAAGTAGAGCTTTGTCCATTCCAGAAATAAGCTGGTTTTTACCCACAAATACATTGAATGTGGATCCTCTGTCATAGCTTTAAAGAGAGAGAATAGGTTACTTGGAGATTTATTTGTAATTTATTTAAATATTGCACATATTTTATTGGTAACTCAATTTTTTTTACTCTTTCCCTGATCATTGTCATGGTTAATTGCTACTGAATAACCAATTCACCATTATTATTTTTTTTAAATCCAGAGGTTCTTAGATGGTGATCTATAAACCACTAGTAGTCCATATACTCCATTCAAATGGTCTTTGGAAAGGCTGCAGAACAGACAGGGACCTCTGGACTTCAAGTACTACTGTACAGTACTTGTTTTCCTTTTGTGTTTTGTGTGACGCAAGAGATGAAGGCTGTTTTGACCACAATAACAAGCCTGTGGTTTACATAAGGAGGCACAGGTATAGTTTAACTTTCTGCTTTTAAAAAAGCTTCTACTAAGAGAAGCTCTTCTCAATGCTTCCAATTTCAGAAAAAGAAAAGGAATGAACGATGAGCCTGATCCGAGGCTAAAACTGATAAACATTATGCCTGAATTCATAGAACTCTGCCTACAAAAACAAACATACTCACTACAGTCAAATAAAGTGGGGAACCATATGAGGATGGTAGGAAAAATCTGATTTCCAGCCCTTCACATACTGGATGTTAGAGGTCATTGATCCTTTTTTGGGAGAAAGGCAACATATAAACATTTTAAATAAATAAAAAATATTAAATGGATAAATAATAAATTATGCGTCCTAATATCACTAAGTTATTGGCCCAAGTACTAGGTAGAAATTCACCCAGGATCTTCTTTGGTCCTCCTTCCCATGTATACACAAAAAGTAGAAAGGCCAATGTGCTCTCAGCTGTTACTTTTCCTCTCCACCCACACCCCCAGCCCACAAAATGGCGAGGAAGTGGAAGGTCAAGCTGAGAATTCACTGTTATCACTGAAGAAAAGTGATAGCAGATATTGCCTGTTTACATTTGCAATTAGGAGAATTAGTGGTACATGAGGGAATCCTGGTGTTTTCCTTTACATTGCTTTCGAACCAAGTCCTGGAGAGCCTGCACCTCATAGTGGGGCTGAGGGATAGATTTGGGATAGTGCTGGTTTACTGCTCTCGCTGCAATCCAATATTCCCCCTGCCAGGACTGGCCGAGTCCGTTTCAACAGCAATGTTGAGGTCTCCCAGACTATTGACAGCTGGGGACTTCAACATTGATGTCAAATCAGAACTATCAAGCTCAGCCCTGCCTGGAGTTCATGGAAGCCATGAACCTATCCCAACATATCACCTGCTCCACGCATTCAGCTGGCCACACTCTAGACCTAGTGTTCTCAACTACACAGGTGGAGAGTGATCAGAGGATGTGGAACATGCGCCCCTGCCCTTTGTTATGGACAGACCACTTCCTGCTGAGATTTAACCTCTCTAAGGTGACCCATGTGACAATCGCCCCATGTCACTCATGCCACTCATAGTCATGATCTAATTTGCATGAGCCTATGAGAGGATTGGAAGGGCGGAGTCAGCTGCTATATGAAGATTTAGCAAGAGGAGGGGGAGTCAGACAGTCAGAGAGAGTTACAGATAAAGATAGAGAGATATAAGAGACTGGTTAGTCAGAGAGAGAAGGAACAGATGCTAATAGAGATAAGGCTGGTTAAAATAAATAGAGAAGGTGGTAATTATATGGCAAGAGAAAAATATGTATTGAGAGACCTGTTAATGATTTACTTGTGTACAATGTTCTTATGAAGAACTGTGATTATTAAATTGGTTTCACTTCAATAAATAAGTTGTTTGCATTCAAAAGACAAACTTCATTTATATTGTGGATTGAGGTAATCCACTGGTGGCAGTGAGAGGAAAACACAGCTGGAGCCTTTGAGGGCACAGCACGTAGGTGCCACAAAGGGTGAACGCCACAATTGGTGTCCAGTGGTGGGACACGAAAGAATCCAGTAAAGCCAGAGTTAAAAGTGAATTTTTTGGACCAGTAAAATTGGCCTGCCCTCAGAAGGCTTCTCAACCCAAAATGGTTTCAGGAGGCCTTGGGAGGGTTTCCAGATGACCTGGTAGACAATCCTGTTGAAGTGCAAGTTGATAGATGGTATCCAGAGACAACATGGGCAGCTGACACAATCACCCCTGAACACCCTCTTCACTTCAGAGCTCACTGTTCTCCTTGGTATACTGAGGGGCTGCAGGCTATGAAGTTAGCAAGGAGGACTAGAAAGCAGGTGGAGGAGGAATCAGCTGTCTTATAATCTGAATCATGACTGGAAGGTACGCCAATGCCCTAAAAATGGCAGACAGCATTTAACATTAGAATCATAGAGGAGGCAGTGAACCGGCAAGCAGAGATGTTCCGAGAGGTTTGCGACCTAACTCTGGTCAATTAGGGCCTCATTTTCATTTTTTCATGAATCAGTTTGCAACGTTTTTTCAAGTAAAAAATTGAGGCCATCTGTACTGACCTTGATTCCACCAGCAGATTAGTCGGCCTGGAGGTGGCCATCACTGCACCACCTCTCTCTGCCCAATTGGTTCAGTTTGAGGAAGTACCAGTGGAGGAAATCTCCAGGGTCAGCCTACCACCTCCTCACTTGACCTTTGCCTAACTTGGCTGAATGGGTTGTGACTATTGTAAATGCATCTTTAAGGAAGGGTATCCTCCCTCCACACATTAAAGAAACCATTGTCTGACCCATCATCAAATGCTCCCAGATGACTTTGGACAATCTTAATAACTTCCATCTGATTGCCAATACTGTATACCGTTCCTGGGCTAGGTGATTGAGAGGGCAGTGGCAAACCAGCTGCAGGCATACCTGGAAGAGCAGGATTGCCTTGATCCATTTCAGTCCAGATTCAGGCCATGAGAGGGTACTGAGACAGCACTGGTTGTGCTGCAGGATGATCTTTTAAAGAAGGCTGATGGGGCAGATGTACTTTGTTGGTTCTCCTTGATTTCTCAGTGGCTTTTGGTACAGTTGATCATGGTACCCTCCTGGACAGGGTCTCAGAGATTGGAATCAGGGGCCTAGCATTGTGCTGATTCTGATCCTTCTTCAAGGATCAGATACGGAGAGTGCTTGGGTCCCACTTCCCTTCTCTTCCTATGCCTGCCCAATTATAGGAAGAAGAGGGAAGCCTGACTGAAGTGACCCCACCCCCACCTTCTGTGCAATGACAGTGGGGGGAATTGCCTCAGTCAGGTTTGTCGAAAGGGAAGCCCTCCCTGCTGCTCTCTGCAAAAGCTAGGTTGCTGGAACTGAAACCATGGTTCCAGCAGTCTAACTTTTGTTTCCATGGAAGCCACCATGGAGCAGGAGGAAGCAGCTGGGAAGGTAAGCAGCAGCGGGAAGGGGGTGGGGGCCGGCTGTGGGGGTCGGGGCTTCTTTTTTTTAGATAGCCCCACAGGTTGTCTAAAAAAAGGACTCAACAAATGATGAATTGATTTGTGGTTCGTCGGACCACTGAGGTGCAATTTGTGGTTCATGTGTCAAGTCTGACAACTCACAAACCAAGATGAAGCCCCATTTTCGTCCCCATCTCTAAATGCAATGCATAAATGTAAAAACAGTAATGTGTTGTCCCACTTTCTGATTTCCCTCTTTTGTTTTCACTATGCCCAGTCACAAAATTCAGACCAAAATGTGTTCGGCAATTTCATATTGAAATAAAAGGAGATGTGGACAGACAGACAGACAGACAGACAGACAGACAGACAGACAGACAGACATATATTACATCCTGTAGACAGACAGACAGACAGACAGACATTACATCCTAAGTCAGTGGGTTTTCCTTCATAATCTTATTCATTGGATATACCAGTTTCTTTTATTCATATATGACTACTATCTCTTGAAACCAGGATGGAATAACTCTCTGGCAGATGAAAGGGTCACTTTAAGGGAGATTAAAAGGTAAAGGTTCCCCTTGACATTTAGTCCAGTTGTGTTCAACTCTAGGGAGTGCTGTTCATCCTCGTTTCCAAACCGTAGAGCCAGCGTTTGTCCGTAGACAGTTTCCATGGTCACGTGGCTAGCACGACTAGACACGGAACATGGTTACCTTCCCAATGAGGTGGTACCTATTTATCTACTCGCATTTTTACATGCTTTTGAACTGCTACGTTGGCAGGAGCTGGGACAAGCAATGCGAGCTCACTCCGTCACATGGATTCGATCTTATGATTGTTGGTCTTCTGACCTTGTAGCACAGAGGCTTCTGTGGTTTAACCCGCAGCGCCACCATGTCCATGTGTAAGGGAGATAACACCCATTTAAATCCACCCTTTCTGGTGTGATAAGGTATGCACCAGATCACACTTTGAGTTAACGAAAATATACGCTTACAAGAGTACAGTGGTGCCCCGCATAGCGACGTTAATCCGTTCCGGATTAATGTCGCTATGCAAAAACATCGCTAATCGGATTGAAAAACCCAACAGGAACGCATTAAACTTAGTTTAATGCATTCCTATGGGGCCCAAACTCACCGTTCAGCGAAGTTCCTCCATAGCGCTGCCATTTTCATGCCCTCGGTAAGCAAGGGCAGCGCGAAAGCACCTGCACTGGCCATTCTAGGCACTCAGCGGCCATTTTGGTACCGCCGATCAGCTGTTGTAAAAACATCGCAATGCGAAGATCGGTAAGCGAAACACCTACCGATCATCGCAATGCGAGTTTTTGCCTATCTAAAGCGACATCACTATGCGGATTCATCGTTAAATGGTGCGCTCGTTAAGCGAGGCACCACTGTATTTAAAAAGGTTGTGTTAAAAGACAAGAGAGATAATTTTCTTCACCATCTTTCAACCACTGGCCCTCTTAATTTCCTGGAATCTGAAGGTGGTTGGTTACACAGGCAGTAAGGATCATTGCTGAATCAGGTTTTCCTTAAATATAATCAGTTTTGAAAATCCTGGCTACACAATACAAATGGAAGGGCAGATATTTTTTTCTAGTTCAAGTGAAAAAGAAGCAGTTCTTCACACATGCTGTTCTGTAGAGGTTTGCCTCCCATTGACCAGAATGCTATTATTTATGTATGCTTTTGTAAGTCAAGCTGCATAAATCACAGTGACAAATTCTTCCTAATTAAGAAGTCATGGCATATACACCTCATTGTGCACCAAGTCAGAGAACAAAGAATACATGCCTCAACTTCTCAATTAGAGATAATTTTCCACTGTAATTTACACTGCTGCACTTACACTGAGATACATACAACAGAGTTCTGGCCATTGTTTTCAATGCACCACATGTACAGCTGATACAAAGTGTTAGACGATAATTTTATAAACAACACATATGTCAAACAATTTTCATTTGACTGATGGATATGACAAAATAAGAGTTGATTTCGGTGTTATTTGTGATAATTGCTTTTAACTTTTGTTATTACACCATCAAGTTGCTTCTGATGTATACCTGTCCTACAAATTAATAACCTCTAAAACGTCTCAGGGCTTTGAAACAAAAGGTTACTGTTCCTTTGCTGAGTTGATCCATCTCATATTAGACCTGTCATGTCAGATTGGAACAGCCAAGACAGTGATGTTTGAACAGCTGCATTTAGGTGCTCTGTCTTGTTCTAATTTTTCTTATATAACAGGCCATATCTACCTGGAGTGTTTTATTTTATTTTTCTTCCATCCAATCAAACTGCTTGGAGTATTTCTACCAGAAAGTGGGATTCTTGGAATAAAATTATTCAGACAAACTAACCATAACTCCAGAAGATGCGGAAGAAAGAAAAACCAGAAAGCAAGATACGGATTGATGCCCTGATACTGCAGAAGGATTCAGTGAGCGATCTCTCTGCAATTCTTACTCAAATAGTTTTTGAGGCCCTAGACACTCAAGCAGAAAACAAAACCACCACCACAAAATAATAGTCCCCTCCTAAAAATGAACTGTGGTCAGGGAAAAAGTCCTAAAGTTCCAAACTGACATTGCATATTTCAGAGAGAAATCCCACCCCCAGAATGCAGAAGCTAATCAGAATGGCCAAAGGGAAGCACTCCTGGATGTCATATGAGAATACTCTTTTTGTAGTGCTAATACTGTTAAAAAATATTTTCCAGCACTCTGTTTTTCTAAAATAATGTGAAAAAGATACACATTTAACTGCCAGAAAAATGTAAATTCCATACATAAGACTTTTCCAATTTTGCCAAAGGGAATTCTGACATACAACAATAAAAATATGCTACATATTCATACTATAAGACCATTTCTGTGGCTGTAAAGATTGCCCATCATCTTGCAGGGGATAAAACAGACACTTCTTTATCTACATCACACAGCTCCTAGTTGCCAACCTAAGAAAAATACCAAGGTAATTTTTTTCGTTGAACTCCTAAGGACATTCACAGAGCATCCAAGTCATAATTAAGTGGCCTTTACTTCAAGACTAGAGATGGGGCTATTTGTATACGAATACGAATATCCCCACACAGGTGGCGATAATTAGTGTCCATTCCCATGGGGCCAGTCAGTCATTCACTGATCCGCTGCTGCCGCGGATATAATACCAAGGTAATTTTTTTCGTTGAACTCCTAAGGACATTCACAGAGCATCCAAGTCATAATTAAGTGGCCTTTACTTCAAGACTAGAGATGGGGCTATTTGTATACGAATACGAATATCCCCACACAGGTGGCGATAATTAGTGTCCATTCCCATGGGGCCAGTCATTCATTCACTGATCCGCTGCTGCCGCGGATCATTCTTCCAATGGCTCTGCAGATTGCGATCTGTGATCCACTCTTCAACCTTGCAGCAAGGTTTGTCCTCCCACCTCCTGCCAGGAATGGCTAGCCGATCACGATCCACGAAGCCATTGGAAAAATCATGGTGTCCGTGGCAGTGGCAGATTGGTGAGTGGTCCATCCGGCCCCATGGGGCTGGACCCTCATTATCTCCACCTATGCGCCGATATTCGTATACAAATACAAATATCCCCATCTCTATTCAAGACTTCAATGAAACAAAGTGATTTCAAAATAATACATCTATCCAAACACCTATACACACTTGCACGAACACTGCGAGGAGGAAGGTGAAAACACCTTTCCACTATTGTGACAAACACCCCTACTGCCCTTTTCACTGGACAATGATGTAGTTCAGCGGTTCTTAATCTTTTCTTTACACAGATCCCCTTTAAATATCTTTTGTTGCCATGGATCACCAAGACTTAAATCAAGATTTTAAACCCTAAAGTTCATCAAATATTTATTTAGTTTTTCATGACAGATATTCCTTGCTATAACAGCAACACTTTTTAAGATGACTAAAAGAAGCTTCATTTTGCTTTGAAAAGGATGCACCGTCATCAACAGCATCCTCTCTTTTATGTCTCAGATTAACTAAAATTTATTGTTACAAAATTCACTGCAATATTAAAAAGTAAATTTACCCAATAATAACCAAATGATTTCATTAGCAGAAATCAAATAAAAACATGATCATGAAGTTTGTCTGAACACACTCATACTGACTCTTTCTTCCTGCAGCTTCTGGCTGTCTGTACAGTAGCAAGAAATGTCACATACTGTCTCTCAGCCACTCAGCATTATTCACTTGCATGTTTTCACCGCGTGCAGAAATATCAAACAGTTATTTGCTTTCAGACAGTTATTTTTATGGCTGATTTTTTACTTTTGTTTGTTTTTAATGGAAGTGGTAGGTTATAAAAGCCATGTTTTACACAAACAAGCCAGGGAAATAAGGGTTTTGTTCTAAGTTTCCTTTTCTTTCTTGTTTTCATTCATTCATTTTTTACTTTCTGTTTTAACCGCAAAAGGTAACATTTCTTCAGGCCTTCATGGATCCCCTGTGAGGACATTGTGGCCCCTCAGGGGTCTGTGAACCAGAGACCCTATCATGTAATTAGTAGCTCTCCACTATTATAATTAACAAATGGCAAGGTATGCATTATAGCCCGGGTTCTGGAGGTCAGCTGGAGAGGCCACAGACATCTCTTTGAATTTTAGGAAGCTGTCAATTCTGCATCTCCTTAAAGAGCCATTCCCACAAACGCCTCTTTAAACTCCTAAGTTTAGAGAGGCCAGCCCGAACTCGTCGCTACCTAAGGCAAAAAACACAAGATCGATCCTGTCCCCTTTCCATGCACGAAAGACCAAGTGCGCAGCACTGTCTGGTGACGGGACAGCTGCTCGCCGTTTCTTTCAGGGCAAAACGGCGACGTTGTGAGCTCAGGGCCGGTGCTGAGGAACACACCCTTCGGGTCCCCTCAGCTTCCCGCGCGCTGCCTAACGGGAAAAGTCTGGATATCCCGAGCTGATGGATCCGCCTTCTGCTCGACTCCAAGCAGGCCAGCATTGCCTACTCCGGCTGGCAATGGTTGTCTTATGGCTCAGGGTTTTCCCCGACCCCCAACTTGGTCACCAGGGGACCAAAACGAGGACTCTTTCCCTGCAGAGGATGTGCTTTGCTGCCACTGAGCTGCGACTCTGAGGCTACAAGTCTCTGCGCACTTACCTGGAAGCAAGCCCCACTGCCTGCAGTGGGGATTACTCCCGAGTAAGCCTGGTCTGCAGTCCGCCTCCCCTTCTGCTATTTGCCCTCCGCGAGCGCCGCGCCAGTCGAGGAGGAAGAAGCCGGGCTACCTGGAGTCAAACTTGCTGCCGTCGGGGAAGGTGCCATGGTAATGGTAGCGCACGAAGTCGCCGGAGAGCACGGTGCGTGGACACTGCTCGGGCACATAGCTGCGCTCCACGAACACGTCCTTGCCATCCCACGGGGTCTCTCCGGCCGGCACCGGCGGAGCTTGGCAAGCCACGCAGCTCACCAGCAAGGCGAGCAAGAGCGGCGAGCAGCACCGACGGCGCTGCCTCCTCCGGCCGGCCGGCATTCCTGGCCTTTCCATAGCCAGCAAGACTGGGCGAGTGCGGCCAGAAAGAAGAAGCGGAGGGAGAGGTCAAGGGGTTCTCCTCAGAAATCCCGGCTTTCCAAAGCTGCAAACGTGGAGAGAGGGTGGAGCGCGGCGGAAAGGGGCCGCCCCGAACGAATCCCACCCTCCCGTCTCTGCTTGGAATGGGGAGGAGCCCGGCCGGGAGGGGAGGGGGCGAGGCCGAGCTTCCCTCAGAGTTGCAAGGAGGAGGGACCGCTGCCTGAGGCCGGCGGGTTCAGAAGCGCGGTTAGCGCGAGACGGGGGTGACGTCGCGCGCGCGCGCATTTTAATAACTTGAACCGTTGAGCCGGGGTCAGAAGGAGCGCGCGACAGAAAAGCCGCGGGACGGCCCTCAGGAGGGAGCGAGGCAGACGAGCCAGCGAATAATAAAGCTCGTCGGACGTTCTTCCGTTCTTTCTCCGCTCAGGGAGGACGCTCTTTTTTCACGGCGCTACGTGGCGCCGGTGGGTTGACGACCCAGCAGCGGCTGAAGAGTCTCGTGTTCCTCCAGGCCAGGGCANTACACGGAGGGTTCCTGCTGTTATTCTTACTGCAACTCACATGAGCCAGGCTGCCCCGAGTTGCGAGGAGTTGAATCTGAATAGCCCACGAGTTTCCAAGCGCTGGTTTAAAGCGTGTATTTTGTACGGCCCGTTCAATAGGAAAAGTACTGCCACATCTGTGCTTGTGCATGCGTACCACACACCAAGAGCCAATGAATAACACGGAGGGTTCCTGCTGTTATTCTTACTGCAACTCACATGAGCCAGGCTGCCCCGAGTTGCGAGGAGTTGAATCTGAATAGCCCACGAGTTTCCAAGCGCTGGTTTAAAGCGTGTATTTTGTACGGCCCGTTCAATAGGAAAAGTACTGCCACATCTGTGCTTGTGCATGCGTACCACACACCAAGAGCCAATGAATATTTAGAATGTTCTACTTGTGGAACTGATATTTCATTTCCAGACAAAGTGGACGTGTCCACGAAAGCTCACATTAAAATATAATAGTCTGTAAGGTGCCACAACGTTTTTGTCTTTATTTTTCTTTTCTCAGCGTGATATAATTTCCTAGAGTTACTGTCTTTATTCCTGTAAGTAACGGTTGCAAATCACAGAAGGGGGCAGTATTTACTGAAGCACTATTTGTTGTTATACAAATGGTAAACTTTTAGATGATGCAGAATTCTTCTTCAACTGTAATGGAATATTTTAGATTTGGCAAGGAAGGCAAAAAAATGTTAATCTGAGTTGAGATCTGAGCATCTTGCACCAGGGTAACAGGAACCAGAGTTTCTCTTTCATCTTTTGGTTATTTGAATTCCTGGAATGTGTGTGTGTGTGTGTGTATTTCTTTTGAATCCCTGTGGTTGTGAATTATGTTATCTGCTATGGTAGAAGAAAGAGCTGGGGCAGAGGTTCAGGAAATAGTTTTTCCTAGATATCATTTCCAGATCTGTCTCTTCTTAAAATAAAGGGTTAATGAATTAATCACATGTTTTCAATGAATAAACCTACATATGGTTACTTGTAGATAAAAATAGTTCTTAAGAAAAAATGTAAATGAGGCACATGGATAGCTCAGTGTCTTAAGCATCTGGTTGCAGAGCCAGAGGTTGGGAATTCAATTCCCCACTGGGCCTCCTTGACAGGGTCTGGACTCAGTGATCCATTGGGTCCCTTCCAGCTCTGCAGTTCTAAGATAATTATTATAACCAGGTAATTATAATTATTGCATATCACAGCTCGGACCTCAGCTTTTTCTGAGAATTTGTTTCCCTTTGTCCCTACAACTAGATTACTCATCATATGTACTTGTTCTTGGTCATCTGTCATTCTTTTCATTTTTAAAAGATGAGCTGGGAGATATTCCCAATTGAATCTCTAGAGAGTCACTTTCCCAGTTAGTGAAGTCAATATTCATTTAAGCCAGTGGTTCTTAACCTTTGTTACTCAGGTGTTTTTGAACTGCAACTCCCAGAAACCTCAGCCAGCGGAGCTGATGGTGAAGGCTTCTGGGAGTTGCAGTCCAAAACCATCTGAGTAACAAAGGTTAAGAACCAGTGATTTAAGCCACTCCTTATGTTTGTTTGTTTGTTTGTTTATGAGAAATATATCATACGGCATTTCTCCACAATGTGGGCTACAGTACAGTTTTGGTCAATGGACAGAAGCTCAGCTGGGATGGAACTAAGCCGATAACCCTAAGAGGGAATTCCACAATCAGGATCTTGCTTGTACTCATATAGCTAGGTAGCCGTTTCATTGCAGTGGAACAAGCAGCAGGGCCCCAGCTGAAAATCTCACATTCTGGACAAGCTGATATGGGAGGAAGCAGCTCTTCAGATGTATGTTTCCTGTATTACTATGGACATGTAATTTTTTGCTGGTACACATTCTTAGACGAGACCCGTTTCATTGCAGTGGAACAAGCAGCAGGGCCCCAGCTGAAAATCTCACATTCTGGACAAGCTGATATGGGAGGAAGCAGCTCTTCAGATGTATGTTTCCTGTATTACTATGGACATGTAAATTTTTGCTGGTGCACATTCTCTGTCACAGCTTGTCGACCAAGGAATACAAGTTAGGAATTAAAACAGTGAATTTGTTTTCAGATTCATAATTCTAAATACAGGGAGGGGTGCTTGCTGCAAGGAGCATAACCTTCCTCTTATTAGCTATGATCATAAATCGTCTCTGTATTGCAGTTAGGTTTTGGGCTAGGGACTTTCCTTGATTCCACTAAAAAGGCATTTCTCAAACATAACCACCATAAATTGTAGGGAGGGGAGGCCATATAGGGCTACAGGCTGGTCAGAGGAGCTGTGTGGACTGTATCCATAGGCTGCCAGTTCCAACATAAGGTACTATCAATGATAATAATCACCTGTCGTCAAGTCAATTCTGACATGGCAACTCTTTTCAGGGCTGTCCAGAGAGAGTTCTCAAAACTGGTTTGCCATTCCCTTCTTTTGAGGGCACCCTGAGACTGTACAACTTGCCCAAATCCACATAGTCTGGCTCATACGAGACACAATAGAAAATGGTGGGCAGGAGGCTGTACAACTTGCCCAAATCCACATAGTCTCGAGACACAGTAGAAAATGGTGGGCAGGGGAAAAGTTATGTGTATCTTCTCCTTTCCCTCCCAGTTACTACGAAAAACATGTTTCATGCTAAAAATACTATTACTCCAGTATGTGTATTTGGCCTTTCAATTACAGTAATTGAATACTCACTCCTGTTCTCTAGGACTTGTGGTATTGTCTGAGTATAATGGACTTCTATGGATGGCTTATTCAATGCAGAATTCTCAACATCTAATTAACACCAACATCAAATTGTAATTCCTAGTCTTCCATTCAATTTATTTTTCCTGGTACAGTAATGCCTCGCAAGATGAATTTAACTCATTTGGCAGTTAATGTTCTCTTGTGAAAAATTCATCTTACGAAACGCATTTTCCCATAGGAATGCATTGAAATCTAATTAATGTGTTCCTATGGGCAAAAAAAGTTAGAACAAAGTCAAATTTGGTTTACAAAGGATTTATTAAGTGCTCTTTGAAGCCATACATATTGTGCAGATGATTTCAAAAATTTCAATAAAAAAACTTTAATTTTTTTTAACATCATAGAAAAATATTTAAAAATCAGCAAACATGAGGCAGGAACAAAAAATGGAAAACATTCGTCTTGCGAAGCATGACCATATGAACATCTGTCTTGCAAGTCATCATCCTCATTGCCAAAACCTTGTGAGTTTTTCGTCCTGCGAGGCATTTGTCTTGCGAGGCACCACTGTAGATGAGAAAGGATGACTGTTAAACAAGTCCGTGCAGTAGATGTACCCATAGATAAAAATTAGACAAGTTCTTTCCCCTTTTAAGTTTGATTTTGCTATATGATTCCTTTCGAAAAGTTTTATTGTGTTCTTTTGAGATGAAAATCTGCTCATAATTCTTTCTAATAGCAAAAATACATATTATGTCACATGTTGCTTTTAAAAAAAGCAGGGACACAGGATTCTGAAGTATTTACTTAGGCAATGAAGTATTCCCATACTCTGGAATGGCCTCAGCCATCCAAGCTACCTGCTGGGCTTTCCTAAAGATAGAGATAGAAAATAACCTTTGTTTGGGCTGGAATGTTCCTTAATCAGTATATGTGAGTAATACATAGACAATGTGCATTTACCATCATGTGTAGTTTGGCTCTTTGATACTAGAATGTCTACTGTCTGGCTCCACTGAGCTTCCTTATGTTCCTTCAATGCTGATGCCATTGCCCCCAGCTTGTTTCTTAGTTCTTGATTTCTTCTTGCTCCCTCCCTCAACTAATACCAGCTAGTTTGACTTCTGCCATGTTCCTTGGCCCAGGTCGGCTAATTCAGCTCCTGGTGCCTGGCTCATTTTACAAATAACTGTAGACAGTTGAGTCATGGCCCAAATAGAGCCACTGACTATGCTGGAGGTGAGACTTCTTTTCTAAACACATTAGTGTCCAGTTTCATATTGAGTCATGGCCCAAATAGAGCCACTGACTCTTTATGCTGGAGGTGATACATCTTTTCTAAACACATTAGTGTCTAGTTTCATACACTCTAGGATTCAGACTTTGAATTGAAAGCCAGATTTGAGTTCTGGCATCTGTCAGATTTTGAGTCCAAATCTATAAAACAGCCAGATGAAACTTACCGTATGTTAAGAAGTAATTTGTTCCTGCTACTTGGAATAGTTTTTGTACATTGATTTGTTGTAATTATTGATTGTACTGTTTAAAAAAATAATTTACTACAATCATAGAATAATGTAGCTGGATGGGCTTATAAAGCCACCTAGTTTAAGCTCCTGCTCAATGCAGGAATCCAAATCAGATCATATCTGACAGATGGTTGTCTAACTTTCTCTCAAATACCTTCAGTATTGGAGAGCAGTACTGGAAAGCAATGCTTATTGTTCTTACATTATTTTTTAAAAAGTTTTAAATTGATGTAAGATAACATAAAGCTTGCAAAAGCCTCTAAAATGCCCTTTAAAAGTAGCTTTTAAAAGTAACTAGAAAATATTATTCATTACACCAGTACAGTAAAACCTAATTCCCACTTATTACATTACTTTTCCCACTTATTACATTACTTACACCATTAGATGGTGACCCGGCGCTCACCATGGAAACCCAGGTGGCGTCAGTGGTCCGCTCCGCCTATTTCCATCTTTGGCGAATTGCCCAGCTGCGTCCC